ACAGTGCCAAATATAACAATGATGTCTTTTTATTTCAGCAGTAACCATATGTGAGAAAGCAGTAGCAATTATTGTTTATGATGCTTGCTGCTTTTGTGAAGCACACTTATGAGTTTACTTCTATAGAAGCATTCATATTCATAGCTTACTCAATGATAAAAGCAGACACAGCATGAGATTGGTGCTTAAGAACAAGCTGTGCCCAGTGCGTCAGTGTTGAATCCATTACTGGCAAATATTTTCACTTAACATTTCACAAAGACGCACTGCAATATGCAATATAATTGAAGGGTGAATTATGCGTGCCTCTCCTAACTTAGTTAGACTAGTGTTCTTTGAATAAAAAGGACACTAAATGCAAATGATGTTTCATGTCACATTAGAAGGCCAACGATTAGGAGTACTTAAAGCATAAACATTATGCACAGCAGCAATTTAGTAACAAATATAATGGTAAACGTAGAGTGAGAAGCCAGCCAGAGTATTGGAGCTAGCTTAGACTCACTCGAAGGATATATTTTGCTCTGGGCACTTGCTCCGATTCAGACTCGCCAAAAATTTCCCCCTCGGACTCAAAATGAGTAAGTTTTATCTCCACTGCATTCACTTGAAATCAAACTCGCCAACTTATTGCCGAGACCAATCAACACAGATGCACAGCTTGACCAGAGTCTCGATGAGCCCTCAGTGTGTTGCCACATGAGTCTGCTAGCATAATATTTCCTTTCTCAGTGTCACAGCTGTTTGATGCCAATATCTCACATAATGGGTGCTCTACTTTCAATCTTGTTCTTAAAACACGTGTTACTGGTCCGGGTAATATTTGTATAACATACATGGCTCACATGGAATACCGTTATGGATGGATCCGAACAACTTTATCAAGGATTTCCGGTGAAAGAATTCGCACAAGAGGTCATTGCACTGCATTCTTGTGGTCTCATTGACCTGTTGTTTGTTGTTTTTTCGTGTGTAATTGTCTTCTTGCACAGTAGAAACAGGGTTGCAAAAGAATAAACAGGCTGCAAAAACAACACAAGCTGCCACATTTACATGTAATGTGATTGCTGGAATGTGCCCATGTTTGTCTGAGCTCAAAATTGTAGTACAGATGTATTCTCTCAGCGTGTGCGAATATGTCTTTAAACTCGCTGCGACGTGAACTGAACATTTTAAACTTCGAGGAACGAACAGACGCATTTTAATGCATTTAACCAGCCTGAACCAAGGTTTTTACTGCAGCGTCCTGCTGCTATGCCGTGAAATCGCCAATTTAGTAGACTCGCAATGCAACGAAATCGAAATCAGTAATTGAAATAAACGTGGCGTATTTTGTCGTTTCAACTTTCACGCCAGCTACTATGGATATTCTGCCAGTTTTTGGACATGTTACGACTTTGCTTCGTATAAAAAAAAAAAAAGTGATATTCGCACAAAATCGATCGACTTTCATGCTTACCTGTGAAAACAGTTGCAGGTTCTGGAGGTTCATCCAGCCATGAACCGTGAGATCTGCAAGCAGGTGTCCAAAGTAATATTCGATGTGAGACATTACTTTGGACACCACACTTGAGATCACGGGGCTGTGGCAGTTGAATATCGTCTCAGGTCACAAAGTCGATAAGCGAGGCGCCGCAGTGTCATACACAAAGCCTCGCGATCTGACACTCGGACGCGCTGCGCACTCATCACTTCGCCGGGAATGAGCAGGCCAACGATCAGGTCGTCCAAATTGCCTTTGTGGAACCTGAAGTTACGATAAAAGGTGGTTCCATCGATGGCGTCGATATCCAACACGCCGTTCTCCTGAAGGTTCCTCCGCGGCTGCGGCTGTAGCAGATCCATAATCAGTAGATCGTCGATGTACTTCCACGGTAGATTTTGAGCCAGGAATGGATCTTGGAGCACACTCTTTGCCATATCGACGACCACTTCTTTGAGAAAACGGCTAGCTGCTGACCGTTCAACCAGAGAGGCTTAGCCAGAGAGGCTTAAAGAATTATGCGGTGGCTCCTTATAGCCTTCTGCACGCAGCCAACTTTAATGGGTTAGGTGATTATATAGCACCAAAACACTTGATAACTTTACATGTTAAAACTTATCATATTTGCGCCGCAGTGCTGGTTAAGTTTTATTTAAAAGAAACCGAATATGTGTGCATCCATGATCATCATCATCGGCGAATGTAATTTTTTACGTACGAACGTAAAGGTTCCCGTATGTGTAGCAAAACGCTGCTAAAACTCGGGCGCTGGTAACACGGTAAACGTAAACCGGTAACACGGTAACGTAAAGAAGTATACGTACAAGCTAAAACTCCCTATTGGCGAGCACTTGCCATTGTCAGCCTGGTTGCTGTCAAGCGCCTCGGTAGTCATGGACGGTGTGCACTGTTTGTTCATCGAAAGCGAGGACTGAGTCTGCAATCACCAGCGCATTCCTTATGACTTAAAAATTGTTACGTATGTACGTGTGAGTGTCACACAGTGATAGTATTATTGTTGCTCAAAATACTCGAGGAAATACGAATACCTCTTGTCGCCAGCACTTCTCGAACACAGGTCGGGGCTTCAGTTGCATTGGCAGCGGCTGAATATTGAAGGCACTGCGTCAGGCTTCAATATTCTTTTCATTTGTAGTGGCATTTGTGAGAAGAGTGACCCGTCGTACGCAAAATCGTCATCTTTGAAGTGTGCCGAGCAAGTACAGCTCCCTTCAGTTTCTCCCAATCATTTCACCTGACTGCGATAGCCCACTGCTTTCGGAGCTTTACATCTTTCAGAAAAACATGAAAGCTGGTTCTGGTCGTGGCATATGTGTTCAAGCAGCCCACGGCCACGAATTTCATTGGCATCGTGTTGCAATCTTAGACACTGCTTGTGGGCTGGCATCACACAGAACAGAGATTTCACGGCACAGGTGGTACCAGCAGTGGCGGGCTGTTACCAACGTCATGTGCGGTTGTGTCCGACTTGTCTTGGCACACCGCTAGAGCTTCGCATCATTTTCTAACCGGTAATTAGAGCACTGATTATAAATTATATTAGTGACTGCTAGATTTTTCATTGTCGTTATCATGACATACCGTATATGTACTACGCATTTCTGGGCAATTCCGTCTGAGTCAAATTTTCTTGCTGTTGGCCTTTAATGCTCTCTTTTCTGCTGTGGTAGTTCTATACTCCGTTTCATACGTCAGGTGCAACGCTGTGAAGGCTAGGCAAGTAGTCCATAAAGAAAACACGAGGTGTTGCTCCGCGCGGTTTCGTAGCCGAGTGGTCTGACGCGTCGCTCTGGAGAGTTCACCGTAGTTTTGAAGTGCATGGGTGCGAATCCACGTGGTGCCATTTTTTTTAATAATTTTTTGCGAGTTCAATTGGAAATTTTTTTTTTTTTTTTCAGTAACTTCAACTTACTTGCACGCGGAAGTGAACTGCACGTATCTATTCATTTGTAGCATACCGTGTTCCCTTGTGAGGGCCGGAACCTGCTGAGCTGGCACCGAGGTTTGACCAGCATGGCGATTTTGTCGCGATTATACCGCATTGTCGGTTTACCTCGTTGATGTGAGCGAGTAATGCGTGTAAGATGACGTTAATTCATTGATTAGGTAGCAGAGCAGCTCCATTGAGGCTGGGTTAACGACAGGTGCTCACCTTCAACTTTTGTTTTTGTCATTGCCCCGATGATCCACTTTTCTGTGCCGCTCTTTAAACACTCAGCAGGTTATTGATTATAGCGGGCCGCCGGCAGAGAAACCTGTTCAGTTTTAGCAAAACAGTGCCGAATCGACCTTACACTGCACTGTGTGGTATCCCGACGCACTTTGTGCGAGTAACGAATGATATGTTATTCAGGGAAAAGGGAAGAAAGCAAATTTGTGTATCTCGGAATAGTGATTTTGGCACACAAATGCATAAAACATTTCCTAGACTTGGTATTTGCCCGTTTACTGTCTTAATATATGCGACATTTTTGTGAATTGTTATGCGCGATTTATTTCTTCAGTATATTTCCAACCCATCCTCCTTCCCGCAAGTAAGAGTTCCTTTTTTATCGTTCAAAAGAGAGTTTCAGTTAGGCTGTTATTCGGCAGAAACTCTAAATTTTAATTTATGCGTCAATAGTTTTTTCTATAAAAACCTGGATATGGCCTGTTTTTCTCGGTTGAGAAAATCTTTATGGTATAGGGTAATTCAGTGCCCGAAAATTGTACTGGTTCAAAAAGTTGGAGATTTGTTCCATACATACATACATCCAGGGGCAATACTCATTGCGTGCGATGGACCAATATTCCAAACGGATGACGACTTTTGTGGTTTAAAAAACGCAAACTTTATTTACAGAAGAGCACCTCTGGCCGATGTCGTTGTGGGTTCCGACATCTTCTTTTTTTTCCTTTTTTATACCAAGTTTTTACAGAGGTCATGTGACCATTTCGAGCGTTTGCACTTCACAAAAAAACATAAATAAGGTAATTATAAGGGAGCAGTACAGTGCAGTGTCCTTCCTAGCCCGGGTCACTTGGCGACGTTAAACCCAACACACAAAATCACACGATGAGGAAGCACTCTTTGCTTTGTCATAATAACACAGCCTTCTTGGGGAATGAGCTCAGCATGAAGCAGCGCGAGCAGGTTCGCTAGAAAGGTGTCCACAATCCAGCTCAACCAGTCGACCCTCGTGAACAAAGCCACCACTGACAGGCCACACATTCCTCGAAAGTCAGCAAAGTTCTTCAATGCCACTCAACTCGTCATCACTGAACTGAGCACCCAACTCATCGGAGGAGGAGTTGCACGAATCACAAATGCAGAAGACAAGTGGTTCGATTTCACTATCCACAATCATGTCCCGTTCCAATGCTTCAGCTTCAACTTGCTCTACATGAGCGCAGCAGTTTTGCCGCTTTTCCTGTTTTACAGATGCCAGTGCTTCTGGCAGAAGCTTCTCTACTTCAGCCAAAGTGAAACCCGTATTCCGTGCTGCGATGTACCCCTTTACCTGGCTCCAAACAAGCTCGATTGGGTTGAACTCGCAGGGTATGGTGGTACACGAAGCACTTCCTGGCCGTGGGTAGCCGCCAGAGTGTCGATGCGGTACACAATACTGGGTGTGTTGACCTTTTGGGAAAGTTCCAGCAGTTCAGCTCTCACCATGTCCTCTGACCACGGAACACCTTTCTTTGTGAGCCAAAGCTGAATATCAGCTTTGCGCGTCGACTTGGTAGGTGCTTTCTCAAGAGCTACGCTGTGGTATGGCGCATTGTCCATGACAATAACGCTATTAGGCGGAATGTTTGGCGAAAGCTTGTCGGTGAACCACTCCTCAAAGTATCTGCCATCCATCTCAGAGTGGTAGTCAGCGCTGCCCCCCTTTTTTGCTTGGAAGTAGTTAGCAGCTCCTTCGATGAAACCAGTTGAACTGCTGCCAGCATGTACGAGGATCAAACGGGCCCCTTTGCCCGAGGGTGCAGCCAATCCTGTCGTCAGACCTTTGAGGAAGGCATCTTGCGATGACTTCACAGTCGTGTCCTGCCAAACATACTCCTTCGTGTGCCCTGCGTTGACCCATGTTTCATCCAAGTAGATGATGCACCTGTACAAAGCAAAACGAACGAGCGCATGAGTTAGCGCACTCGAGTAAACATACCCACAGCAGCAGCTTGAGTCTTGGCATGACCATAGTCGAAAATACTGCAAAGAACAACTTGAGCAAAAAGTACAAAAAGCATTCATATGCATATTCTATTTTCTTTCTTACCCACTCATATGCTGACTGCTCTTTCGTAAACAGCTGCTTAGCGTCAATCGAGGAAAAAAACGGTCGGCGTCAGTGCTTTCTTTAGTCGGGCTTTAATTCGGCACGTAGGTGGCATTTGGCTGTCAGTTCTGATTCATGGCAAGTTCTCATGTCACACATGCGGTATTCGGTAAGAATTCATTGGCCGTCGCTATCATTTTGCACGAATGGAAACAAAAATAGACACCAAAATTCCCAACAATGCTGCCAGTAACTCGCATCTTTCATGGGAATGAGCGCTTACCGCACCAAACAGCGGAAATTTAGCGAATAACTCTCACCGATTGAGGCAAATACTCCCACCCAACAAAACGAAAGTCGTGAAATGCGACCTGCAAGCAATTACCTTGCTTAACCGTTTTCTTTTTTCCAGGTTGTAATTCAGATGTAATACTCTCCATTACGATTATAAAGTTGCAATACATGTGCTGCGTAAGGAAATATGAAAATAACGGTTCCCACCTGCCCTGTCCTCGGAATTTCTTGATCGCCCGCAAGTACCTGCGACGCCAGGCAATGATGTCACTGCGCTTGATTAGCGCAAGATTCCGTTTTCTCTTAGCAAAGGTGAAGCCGATGTCCTTCATTAGTCTCCACAAGGTGGTTTTCGTGAAGTTCGGCAAGTCGTCGTCTTCGTTGACAGCCCTTATCACACTGTCCAGTGTTGGGATCTCCCTCTTGGGGTACATGCTGTGCACTTTCAGGCGGATGGCATGGATTGTCAAGCTGTCATGTTTGATGGTTCGCTAGCTCAAAATCTTCACCTCGTGAGCTCGTTTTTTCAGTGACACCAAAGGCCCACGCAGACGCTACGCCTTCAATTTCGGCACGGTACGGGGAGATATTCCAGTGTCCTCGCTCAGAACACTCAGCACTTCCCGCACAAATTTCTCCAGGAAACGCATCCTGGTACGGGCGTACACATTTGCAATTACTTGCTTGGCGTGCTTTGACAGCTTTGATGTGCGAAGCTTCGAAAAAATTCGCGCAAGAGAGGTGGTCGAGGACGCAGAGCTGGACGCCATTTTTCGAAGCTGCCACACAAGTAAAAAAAAAAAAAAAACGGCGGCGCGGAGAGCGAAAACCTGATACGAAAGCGACAAACATAAATTACCAACTCGCATATTTGGATTGTTTATCCGACAACACAGGCGTTTGTTTTTTAACCTGATGACAAATATGTATGCTTAGAAGTTTCCCGAGAAGCATTTATTGATTCTCGTACACCCCAAGCGACGCACTACTTTTTTGGTCGCGGCAGTACACAGTGCAAACAAGAGCGCTAGCTTTGACAGCGTTGCACATGATGTATGAAACGGAGCATAGAGGGAGAGATGTCAGTTGCAATGTTTTTTTTTTTAGGAACATGGTCGGTTATCCTCCTAGTGCTCTTGTTTCGTTCCTGGCCCCTTCTCTTCACCCACCGCCACCTTTTCAAGTTCAAGTTTTTTGTTGGTTCAAGTTCTTCTTAATAGTATATGAAAATACAGAACACTTGTTAGGCCCGAAAGGGGTCTAATAAAATATACATTTAAAGGAACAGGTTGTTCAAACAAAGCAGCTGGTAAAAGTACACCAGTTGTAACAAGAAAAAAAAAAGAAAAGCATAAGAAGGAATCATATTGCCATTGTCCTAAGAGTTCTTGATATGTTTGTTTGAACTGCTCCCGGATTTCTGGAGACCCCATATCCAGGTTCTGTTTTTAGACTGGTTAGAAAGGCATGATCAATTTTGGTATCATATGGTTTTTTAACCTATTCCTGTTTTCTGTTTCTCTTTTTATCCTTGCTTGAGATCTCTTGGGTTTGGCCATCTAGTGCTCTTAGGGTATGGTATGGAAAGGAGGTGAAATATAGAATAAACAAAATCTCTCCTTTCCTTTGGTGTAATCATGGTCTCACCTGGCTATCTGCTTGGTAGCTATCTGCTTTGCTTTGACATACATGTTTCGGTACGTGCCATGTTATTCACTTCATTTGGTTGATGTTAAATGCCTGTTTAGATTTAATGTGCACTGACTGTCCGGGATCAACCATCAACCCCGCTAATTGATGAAGTGGCGGCTCGGGTCTGGGATCAGTGAGGTGGACCATGAGGGTTGAATCTACCAGCAACTCCAATCCCATTGAGCACCGCTGGTCTTGTATATAGCCATGAAATTTTTTCACTAATACTATTTCCACACACTCCTCGTCCTGAACAATCTCCGGTTTCGAGTCAGACGGTGTCCTGTACCTTATCTGCATACTTTCATGCGGCAATAGCATTAAAAGCTCCAGATACTATCTAAAGCTGCTACAGGGAATGATCAGCTGACAGCAGCGATAACTGTCATATTTTCCTAGCTTTAAGACCTCGCATCGTCACATGTAGGACGAAGCAAATTGCAACAGAAGGTCACAGTTGTTAGCAAGGCATTCAATCCGGTTTTTTATTTTCCTGTGCTGCCTTCTGCCGTTTCGTTAGAGGCCAGGGCACCCGGTATTGGCAGAATGAGAGCCCCCAAAAGTGATAGGCGTTTTTCGGATCCTTTTCTCTTTGGGACGGGCACATGCGCCCTGGCATCGAGAAAAAGGCAAACTGTGCACGATTGGGCACACCATGCAGTGCAGGGTGAGGCTGGCACACCAGAACAGTAAACGCACCTGCCCATAACTGCAATACAAGAATGGTATCTGCGGTAGGATGTCCTGCTCCGATACCTGTGTCACGGTTACATCACTTAAAAAAAAAAAATAAAAAAAAATATATGATGATGATGAAGTAATGAGAAGGAAATAAAGGGACAGGAATAAAAATAAGAGAAAAGAAGGGATAATCAGCGTGTGACAACAAAACAAGTGTCATGTGCCACATCCTATATAACAGCCAAACAGTGAATGTTAAAATATACAACAGTAATACCACAGACAGAACGGAAAGGGGAGAGGAAACAAGATGCAGCAAAAGCAACAAAATTACTCTGGCTACTCACTATATGTGGGATACATATTCACGAGTCTGAGTAATGAACGAATGACGTTGCTTCTTCTCAGCAGATGCATCGTTGATGCTATGTTATAGAAAATCTCTTGAAGTAGAAAGCAATGCGGACGTGACTTGCTACCGCTTACCGCTTGCACGGACCAATAGTACAGTGGAAAGGTCCTGGGATTGAGTTTTACTCTCTTTATGCATTGGCAGGTATAAGAGCTTGTCCCCTCCGTGTTCCAATATTGGCTCTATTTCTCTAACCCCTTAAGGGCTCATTAAACAAATATATTATGCACCAATATGGCCAAATTTTTTAATGATGTGATATGCTTCAGAAACGTGTTCAAAACACAAAAATATTTGCGAAAATTGTTTATAGTCGATAATCATGTTTAATTGGTCATTCTTTACCCCATATAATACCCTATATTTGGGGCATTTCTGGTGTATTCACAAATTAATTTCTGCAACTCCAGAAAGCACGGGTCGGGTTTGAATTGCCTTGCAGAAAACAAACAATTTCTTGATAGTTCACTTGAAGCTAGTTGAGGCTACCATCCGTGTGGTAGCGTTCAAAGCACGGCACTGCGCAGAGAGCCTTCTCGCACCACCTGCACCAGGTCCTGGTTTCCTTGCGGATGTTCTTGCCATTTACATCTCGCTTCATGTAGCAGACTACGCAGCGGCGTGTCGGTTCTTGCTTTTTCTCTGTTGGTGGTATGTGCGATGGAAAGTGGCGCTCACCAAACCGTTTTGCGTTCAAGGGGCGCCCTGGCCGTCCTTTCTTCTTGGTGCCGGTGTTGGGAGAGTACTTCGTGATGATCTCATCAATAAGCCTTAGCCTATACTCCAGATGAGATGCTCGGCCTCCTCCTTTCTGGTACAGAACGAATGAATTGTAGGTCGCCTCATCCAAGAGGTGTTGGAAGATCTTCTTGTAGGAGATCTTTTTTCGTTTCCGTGGCACTGAGTAGCTCGCCAGCATCTGATCTGCTCTGTCAACTCCTCCCATTGTATGGTTATAATCAAGTATAACTTCTGGCTTCAGGGTTTCTTTGCCCATTTTGTCAATGAATCGCACCATTTCAGCACTATGTACTGTAGATAGAACCGTCACCAGTTTTTTGTCCATCCACTGAACAGCCAAGCACTTGCCCCTTTGAAAGGCAACCATCTCGCCTTTCTTGAGCTTTGCCTTGGCGAAACCAGGCGGAAGGTCTTTGCGAGTGGCTCGCGTCGTGCCATAGATGTCAGTTGATCTCTTCAAAAGAAAGTCAACCAGTTCTGGTGAGGTGTAGAAGTTGTCAGTTGTGACGCAGTAGCCTTTGTCTAGCAGGGGCTCCAGAAGCTTCAAAACAACTTTCGTCGCCATTCCGAAGGTTGCTGCTTCTTCTGACGAGATCTCAATGTTCGTTTCTTTCCCTGTATAAATTACAGAGTTCCATATATACCGACTTGAAGATTCGCACAGCAAAAATGACTTTATGCCAAACCTCGCTCTCTTCAGGGGCATATACTACTTCCAGCTGAGCCGGCCTTTGAAGAGCAGCAAGCTCTCGTCGACACTGACGTCCCGCTCCGGCACATACAATGTCCGGTATTTTTCAAGAAGTGCCTGATAAACCGGCCAGATTTTCCTCAGATGAGGTTGAGGGTGTCCTTCACAATTTTCGTTTGTCGTGTTGTCGACAAAGTGCAACATTCTCATTATTAGTTCGAAGCGGTTTCTGGACATTATCTCGCCAAAGACCGGAGTCTCAACCAGCCGATTCCTAGACCAGTACATCCTTTGATTTGGTTTTTGCACAATGCCTTGCAGCAACAGGAGGCTCAGAGAAACGCGAAGTTCTTCTCGCGTAAGTGCATACCATTTTCGGAAGCGAGAATGTTGTCCCAGCTTGCTAGAATTCAGAAGCTGAGAAGCGTACCGGTTTGTCTCCACGACGATAACATCAAGCAGCTCATCATCAAAGTAAGCTTCAAAGAGCTCATGTGGATGAGGGGGAGAGCTTACTGTGATCTTCAGTCCCGTGAAACCCCTGAAATCAAACCGTGGAGGTCTGGCTGGGATGTTGTCGAGGTCTATGCGAAACCATTCACGGGAGCTAGCCATTGTATCATCGCTACTGTCTTCTTCAGAGTCACTGTCCGTAAAAACGTCATCACTGTCTTCTTCACTTGAAGAATAAAACACTACGGTGGCATCCTTATCACTCTCGCTTTCATCGTCTGAAGAAGGAAGATTCTTCGCATCAGAACGCCGCACGGATGAGGCCATGTTTGTAAAACGCGCGGGAAACAAGCGCACACATTCCGCCATCTAGTGTGCAAACTATAACCACCGCCAATGACGGAACTTGCGGTGCTTAAACATAGATGGCAGCACAGGTTCCGTAAATCCCCGTTTGACGACCCGGGCTCGTCAAAAGCCTGTAGGAGCATTGCGGAAAACTCATGACGACCACAACTCGTCATAAGCAAAATAGTGGCAACTGCTCTTGACGAGCGCAGGTCGTCATAAGCCCTTAAGGGGCTAAACATTCTTTCTCTAGTTTCCTTTAAGACAATTGATTTGGACATAGGAATTGTGTATTCCATACCGTCTTTGGAGGCCTCTTTCGCTAATTGATCTGCGAGTTCATTGCCAGCCGGTTGTTCTCTTGTGTTCCTAGTGTATGCCAGTCTGATTTGAAAATTTTGCAGTCAATTTAGTTGAAGCCCTATTTGTTGTATAAATGGGTTTGTTTGTTTTTCACCGCGTCCATTGTGGACTGGCTGTCGGTTATTAGTACTTGGTATGTATGGTGCCAATCCATGTTCTCTACTTTCTTTATTGCTTCTAAAATAGCTACAGCTTCAGCTTTGAAGCTATTTGACTAGTCGGGCTATTTCATATGTTTTTATCTGATTGCCTTGCCGGGCATGTCCCATTACTTCCAATGCTGCACCACATCTTGTGCTTTGTTTCAGATTCATTAGTATAAAGGCTGTAATCAGCCCTGGCAATTGTGCTTGAGTATATGTTTTTTTTTTCAGTGGGTGTATGTATTTTGATGATCTCACCTAATTATTTTGATGATCTCATCTTTACCAAATAATGCTTTCACGACAGCTTGCTCTGAGTGAAGTCTTCACACGAACAAGATGAGTAGCACACTGGACTTCACTTTGAATACACCGTATTCATCTGCTCTTGCTACATCTTGTTTGCTGTAACAGAGTGCTGTTTCAAGCCTGCTAATTATCTGCCTGACTGCAGCTGGCGGCCTGTTGGGAAGGTATTGTGTAATTCCTTCATGGCATTCGTCATTGGCGAGCACTTGCCATTGTCAGCCTGGTTGCTGTCAAGCTCCTCAGTATTTGGGACGGCGTGCACTGTCCGTTCATCGAAAGCGAGGACAGAGTCGGCCATCGCCAGTGCATTCCTTATGACCTAAAAATCGTTCCGTATGTACGTGTGAGTGTCACACAGTGATAGTATTAGTGTTGCTCAAAATACTCTAGGAAATACGAATACCTCTTGTCGCCTGCATTTCTCGAACACTGGTCGGGGCTTCAGTTGCATTGGCAGCGGCTGAATATTTAAGGCACTGCATCAGGCCTAAACATTCTTTTCATTTGTAGCGGCATTTGTGGGTAGAGTGACTCGTCGTACACAAAATCGTCATCTTTGAAGTGTGCCGAGCTAGTACGGCTCCCTTCAGTTTCTCTCAATCATTTCACCTGACTGCGATAGCCCACTGCTTTCGGAGCTTTACATCTTTCAGAGAAACATGAAAGCTGGTTCTGGTCGTGGCATATGTGTTCAAGCAGCCCATGGCTGCAAATTTCATTGGCATCGTGTTGCAATCTTAGACACTGCTTGTGGGCTGGCATCACACAGAACAGAGATTTCACGGCACAGGTGGTACCCTCACCCACCAGCAGTGGCGGGCTGTTACCAACGTCATGTGCGGTTGTGTCCGACTCGTCTTGGCACACCGCTAGAGCTTCGCGTCGTCTTCTAGCCGGTAGTTAGCGCAATGATTATAAATTATATTAGTGACTGCTAGATTTTTCATTGTCATTATCATGACATACTGTATATGTACTATGCATTTCTGGGCAATTTCGTCTGAGTCAAAGCTCTGGCTACATCTTGTTTCTGTAACAGAGTGCTGTTTCAAGCCATCTAATTATCTGCCTGACTGGAGCCGACGGTCTGTTGATAACGTATTGTGTAATTCGTCCATGGTACAGTCTGTATGATGAAGACTGCAGGATATTTTCCTGGGAGAACTTTTGCTGTTGCTCAGGGAAAAGCTGTGTAACTAACACATTAAGTCCTGTCGGACTCCTCCTTCTATGTCCACCCTGTAAGTAAAACTCCGTAAAGGGCTTGTTCTGTGGTTCTTTGCCATTATTTGTGGTAAGCACAACTGTGAATTGCTGCCGGTAGAATTTCACCCACATATCTGACAGAGGTATTCAATGTGTGAGTATGTATTCCTGAAATCAATGGTTTTTGCTAGAACACTGACTCTCTGAGACTCTTGCAAGAAGCTTCAAATTCTTCAGCCCATGTGGCATGGGCCAAATGCCACATAACAGACAGTGCCTGATCTCTACTCTAGAGACCATTTTTCTTTCGCTCCCATGCTTGCCCACGGTGAAAGTCACAGAGCTGAATTTTACTCGTGGGAAAAATTGCCCTAATAGCACCCATCTTTGCTTGACAGTGGTCAATTATGAAATATTCAGGGGTCAGGTTCTTGCTCTATGACCTAAATATCTGAAGAGCTTCACTTATGCAAGCAGCAGTTTCAAACTGCACTGAGAATGCACCAACTGTCATGAAAGACATTGGCGTCTTGACTACATGAAAAAAAAATTGGTAGGTCATAATCGGTAGTCCTATTCGTAGCATCTAAACAGACCACCCTACTGCCATACTTATCTAAAAGCGCACCCACGAAGCATGATTGGTAGCAGAAAATAAAGGCGGTTCCACATTGCACAGACACCCATTCCTCAACATCTTCCTTATCGCTGCAGGACGAACTGCAGCCTTCTTTGTATGAACTCACAAAGAAGTCGTCACGTTGGCTCTGTTTCTGTAGCTCCTCAGTGGACTGAATGGCATTTTCTTAGTCGAGGTCACTGTGCCTCTCTTCTTTAAGTGCAAGCTCTATGTGCTCACTAGGCCTCTATTTGTAGGATTAAATGCGCAACAACTCGTGGGAGGAGGCTGCCTTCTAGCAAAAAGCAGATCATGAACATAATATCTTATGCATTTTTTAACCTCTTGCACTGATGTAATGCCTTCATGCACTAGATCCTTGATTTTCGCTCACATTTACATCAACAGTCTTGCGAAAGCCAGACTGTTGATGTAAACGTGAGCCTTGTGAAAAATTATTTTTTGAGTGGAAGGGCATTCTGGTCAAGGTGAAAAATATTATTTTATCTGACTGCACAGGTTGTTTCGAAGAAAGGGCTTCGGAGAGTCTCGTCAGCTGAGCTGCCTTCAGTTGATTCAGCTTCCGCTTTGAAGTTGTCTCGGTTGTATCAAACTGAAATAGTTGTATGACGTCAAGGAAGTACAAACATATTACAAATGAAAATGCACAGTGCTTCAAGAAATGTGTCAATATCCTATTTTAAAAAACAAAAGAGGTATCTGTGTGCTACCTGTGGCATTTTTTTTTTTTTACCATGGCAGAAGACATCTTCACAAAAGTACAAATTATAATTATAGCAGTATTATAGAAATCTTGAGTAATTGAATGACAAATATTTTTTGGGCCAGAAGCTGACATGGAACAGAGCAGGCGAATAACCACAGCTACCTCGCCTTTGGCGCATGAAGTAGTAGTGTATTCGATCAACAAGTGATCGGTGAAAGCTTTAGGGCCTAAGTGATATAGGCGTTGGTGTTCGACATACTGTGAACGTTTAAGCTGACTTCTATTTTGACTTGAAGTCTGACTAGTTTTTGTCTGCTTTCTTGTTTTAGCTTTCTGTTTCACTTCAAACACGTAATAAATAGTTCTCCAGTCGTCAATCGAGGTAGCGCCTGATACAAGTGCAGAAACTATTGCCTCATTGAAATGCCCGATTCAGCAAGAGACGTTTGAATATCTGAAACAGAGAGTTCAAGAGGAATAAGAGACACTGAACGAGAGATTGAAGGTAGTGTCCAAGGGTAAACACTGTGTGAATTGAGAAGTTCTGAAATGTCCTGGTAGCGGGTGGTATGACTAGTTTTAGAGATACTTGAAACAGTAAAAATGCCAAAAACTGCATGGAGCACCTCAATAATTCTTTTATGGCCCCCCAACTCGAGTTCCCTCTTAGCTAAGGGGATTAATTCGGAATCTGCCCATCTGTAGTGGGAATATGCAGGGCCCTCAATGTAGTTTTCACTGCACATGCTAGTATGGATAAGCTGAAGTTTGTTACATACTTCAAGGTATCTACAATGTATGTGCATTTTCTCGATTGACTCTCTAGAATGATGAGGAAATTTGGTTGCTAAACGTCATTAACCGAGTAGACCTCCCCAAGGGCTAACTTTGCCTTGGCCATTGCCTCGACCTCAGTGTCGGACCATTGTCCCCGTGTTATGTTCACATACCTCCTCTTGTTAGGTCTGGGCAAGCGATCTGGAGCAAGTTGCGAAAGAGTCGCTGTTTTATCATGAGCCACTGGTTCGACGACCAATTGGTCTTCACGGTGAAGCATCTAATTAATGCTCCCACTAATGCGCAGAGATGTATGCGAAGGCACCAGAATAGGAAATACATTTGTAGACCCCAAACCGGGCTGGACAGGAACTTCTTCGGGAGATGGTTCAGTATGACCATGTAAAGAACCATGCCTAGATCCACGTGAATCTGCAAGACATGCAGCGAGAGAAGAGTTTGATTGGTGAGTTAAATTTCCTTGTGCAATGCATCTGTGCAACATGCATGAAGGTGGTGAATCTGAGACGTAGCCCCTAGAGTGGACTCGGTCGAATCTACTTCAGATTCCAAGAGAGAGGAGTGAAGTTCATTGACAGGCCCAAGCTGACTCTGTGAGGTATCTATGGAACATGCTTCAACATTGGACTGTTCTGTAGAAGTTTTGGAAGAAGATTGTTCACATGGATTATTAGATGCCGACTCTAACGATTCAAAATAGGACCTCTTACATTTGGAAAAATGTGAGGGCATTTTTTTTGGCGCAAGGAAGCCGTTTCGTAAGGCAATAGATACATTGCCATAATACCACAAAGGAATGAGACCTGCAGTGTAG